CTCTTAGTCACCGCTGCTCTCAGTCGCCGCTGCTCTTAGTCACCGCTGCTCTCAGTCGCCGCTACTCTTAGTCACCGCTGCTCTCAGTCGCCGCTGCTCTTAGTCACCGCTGCTCTCAGTCGCCGCTGCTCTTAGTCACCGCTGCTCTCAGTCGCCGCTGCTCTTAGTCACCGCTGCTCTCAGTCGCCGATGTATTCTGTTGCCGCCGCGGCTCTCAATCTAAGCTGCACTCGGTTACTTCGAACACGTTTGCCCCAAACTTTGCAGTCCACTGAGTGATTTGAAGTTGAGCTGAAGATCAGCAAAGTTGTCTCATTACTTCTGTATTTGCTGGAACCAATTTAACTAAACTTTCACTCAGTTTTCAAGGGTAAGGTCAATCTTTTCTGAGCAAGGCTTGTAACCTCGGGTGACACATGTGGACAGCTACTCCTGCGTATACTGCCTGGGCTCCAACCGAATATACATTCACTCTTTAGTTCATATTATATTCACTATTTTGGTTCACTAAAGTTTCCATCTACTTCCCCACTAAAAATGCGATATAAGCAAATGTCATCCCATCTAAGACCTTTTTTCAGCATTTTCATGTATGGTCGAATTTAAGCTCACCCTTCCATTAGCACCGGAAAAATACTGCAATAACTTGACGATGTTATTGTCCCCGATGTTCGGAGAGCATTGCTTTCGATGAAGTCGGGTTGTGATGTGCATCGATGATGAGACTGGCTCGTTCTTAGGGTTGCTAATGACCGACTCGTCTACGCTTGTCATCTTCTTACCGATATATGATGAACCCGGGGACAGGCGGAGGTGTTCAAAGCGTGTATCCTTATGTGTGTTGTAAACGTACCACGCGTGTATCCTTATGTGTGTTGTAAACGTACCACGCGTGTATCCTTATGTGTGTTGTAAACGTACCACGCGTGTACCTTACGTGCATCGTAAACGTATGGATAAGGAATGTGTAAATGGATCAAGTCCTATGCAACACATTCTTATCCTATGGAACACATTCTTATCACCACATGACCTGGTCATATCCTGTTGGGGCAGTGCCCACGTCGCCCTACAGACCCGCGACTGTGCAGCTCAGCATTTGTCGGCCTCCAGGATTCGGTCTTCCAGTGGCAGGGTTGGATTTTACCGCGACGTCTGCAGTCGCTTAACTGCTTATGCCATGGTTTTCTACAAGCGTTTCTCAGTTTTCAGTTTTGCCATTTGCCACATAAACTCTCGCCAATGCTATTAGTGCTGTTCGTACCTAAATGCCTGTAACGAAAATTGTGTCGCTGGAGGACGGGTTGA